TAACTACAGGATCAGTATTCAGCTTGTGAGTTATAAGGTCGAGGTCTATACCGGGCATCTCTGCCGTGGACCATGCAAAAATATCTAAATTTTGAAGTAAGAAACTTACCAATTCGGATCGTAGAGGTTCCTGGACGGAAACACCGATCTGAAGCGTCCGAGTTGGATCTGAGGTTGAGGTCGGAACAGCGACTGTTTCTTCCGTGGGCGCAGCTCGTTCTTCGCCTTGCTCTGTAGGCCGCTCCAATTCGAGGTCGTCGGCCACCTTGGTTTTTCCCTTTAGGGCGGCGACATAGGACTTGCGGGACTCGAGTTGGTCGCCCTACGCTACCCCCACACCGAAGTTTGTAGGGAACTTCATTGCCAAATGATAAGTGGAGACCACCACCCGTAGGACATGGGTGATCAGCCGGCCTATTATGGCATCGTATGGGGAGGGGGTCGCAACCACCAGGAAGTCGTGGTTGAGTCTGACTATGCAGGGCCATGTGCCAACTTCCATAGGTACTGTTATTTTCTTAAGGGGCCGGACTTCTTCTCCGCTAAAGCCCACCAAAGGAGTGTCCACGGGCTTCAAGTCACTTTTCTGCAACTGAAGCCGGTTGAACGCGGCTTTGAAGAGGATATATGCTGAGCTGCCCGAGTCAACGAGTACGCGCCTGACCTCGAAGTCGTTGATCCTCAGCTTTATCTCAAGTGCGTCATCGTGGGGGTAGTGGACCCCTCGCGCATCATCCTCCGTGAAGAAAATCGGCTCTTCTGTCATCAGCCGCTTCGGAGGATTCTATTCTTCTCGGGCAGCTTCACGAACCGACATCCGAGTTGCTGCTGAAGTACAACCCACGATGATCAAACCTCCTACTATCACGTGGATGGTGCCCCGAACCGGCCTCTCTTCTAGAGGCTGCCTCTGTGACTATTCGGCCGGCCTGCAGTTGGACTCGGGAGCATCCTTACCGTGCTCCCCTTGCCAACCTGTTTTATTATTATTATTTTGTACAAAGTTCCTTAAATATCCGCGATGGATGAGCTCCTCAATCTCGTCGTGGAGGTTTTTACAATTTTCGGTACTATGACCGTGATCTCTGTGAAAACTGCAGTACAGATTCTTATTTCTCTCATTGGGATTTCCCCTCAAACGGGGTGGTCACTTCACATACGGAGCGTCCTTGATTGCCATCAGGATTTCGGCCCGCTTCGCATTCAGTGGGGTGTAATCAGTTCGGTCCACTGCTGGAGCTCGGAACGACTGACCCTGCTTTGCCCCCCGAGCTACATCTTTTTTCTTTCAGTTGTCCTCTTGACTGGAAGGCTCTCCTTCCCTTTTCCTCTTTTTGGGCGCGCCCTCGCCCTTCTGGTTGATCTCTTCCTCGGTGGCTATAAACCTATCCGCGAATTTAAGGAATTCGGTTATGGTCATTGGTTGGTTGACGACCATGTGCCACTTGAACTCTTTATGCGTCATGCCCTTCTTGGCTGCTATGAGGCGCACGACAAGGTCTAGGCACGGTATCTGCATGCAAGCATCGCTGAACCACTTGATGTAGCTCCGGATGGACTCTCCTTCTCTCTGTGCTATGTTGAGGAGACTTTCTTCAGTCCGCGGACACCGCTTGTTGGTAACAAAGTAGGACGTGAAGGCTTGCGCGAACTGCGCCCAACTTCTTATTGATCCGAGCGCCAGGTTCCGGTACCATGTGCGGGCTACTCCTCTGAAAGTGGTAGAGAAGGCCACGCACATGCACGACCTACTAGCTCTCGCCAGGTGCATCTACGACTGAAAGGCGTCCACGTGATCATTTGGGTCGAACGACCCATCGTACTTGTCAAGAGGGGGGAGCTTGAAATCTTTAGGCATTGGAACTGCCAGGATCTCAGGAGATAGGGGAGATTGAACTGAAAGGAGGGGAGCCTTGACTTCGCCCGAGCTTACCTCTTCTTTGCCTCCGAGCTCGGGCAGGTCGTGGGTGGCAGATCGGCAAGCTTGGCGGCGGCGTCTCTGCTTCTTGGCGGGCTCGGCATTAGTGCTGCTCACCTTTGTGCTGCCAGGAATGTTGTGTGCAGGAAGTAGCTCAGGCCGCTGGTGATGGCTGCGGACAGAAGGATCCTACTTGGAGACTGTGGCCAGGATCTCGAACCGGTTCTCTAGGAACGGGGTATCAGGCTTTGAGGGCTGAGGCGATGTGGACCTGGCGAGCTGAGGTCCTCCCGACCTGACTGCCCGCGATGAGGCCGGAGTGGCTGGTCTTTCTTGTCTGCAACGGGAGCTGCGGCTGCTGAAGCTGAGATTGAGGCAGCTGAGGGAATTGCTGCTGATACCGGTACTGGGAGACCTGGTGTAGCACCTGCTGCTGATAGAGCTGGAACTATTGAAACTGTTGCATTTGATCTTGCATGGCCCGCACGCACTGCACCAAGTCCTCCAGTTGGTTCGGGTTGGCCGCTGGGGGCACAACTGAGGGTTCGGTGAAGGTTGCTCCGACTGTGGTAGGGAGTGGAGCAACGACGGGTGCCCCTGTAAGAGGCATGTCCAAACTAGGGATCCCGTCTGCTGAGAGGGGGACGGTGAACTATCCGATGAAGACAGTAGGAAGCTGGGGCTGTTCCCTGGAGTTATCCATCTCCATGCTTCGTCCGATGTTGCTTGAGGAAGCCATGAGTGTTGAGTTTTCAAGGAAGAAAGAGCTGTGAAGGTTTAGAGAAAGGCTTTCGAAGCGTTTCTCACAGACGGCGCCAAATGATGTAGCGCAATCTAGTCACTCCTAACTGGCACTTACGTGGCTCCTGTTTTGGGCTACGATGTAGCGAGCTACTTTATGGACCCGTCACTAGGCTATAATGCTGAGTTGTTGCTTGCGCTAACTCAGTGTCCACGTGTCGTCATTCCATAGGTCGGGTCAAACCATCCTCCATCAATATCATATGCAAATTCTTAATTTTTTTAATTATTAAAATAATTATTTCATAATTAATATTTTTATTTTTATAAATTTTATAAAATAAACAACATTATTTTCTATAAAGTATATTAGTGGATTTGACAAATTCAATTTATATTATATTCTCTAGTATTTTATAAATAATATTTTCATGTTTGTAAATAATAAATATGTTGTTCTTTAATATAAATTAAAATATTAATTAATAATTTATAAAAAATTTAAGATACATACCATGTTCGAATTTACAAATTGTAAGTACTAAAATAATTACTCTATTGTGTGTAGAAATTATTTATTCCATTAGTTTACAAAATAGAATTAATAAAAATTTATTTTAAGCGTTCGATTATTTGGGTTCATATCACACCTACTGTATTTTTTAAATATAGATGCGTGAAAACTCAAATCATGTTCGATTATTTCAGTTTATTGTACTTTATTTAAAAAAAAAAGATAAAAAAGCAAATTAATTACTATTCATAAAGGGCTGGAATTGAATCATTGATAATCAAAGTTGTCATTGTGTGTGGTTTTTTTATGGTCAAATAATGGGGAAGAGAAGGATAATTAATATAACTAGCATGCATACCTTATCTAGCAGAAAATTTCCCCATTTTCTCTTTGCTTTGATTCTAATTCCTATGAGGGAGGTTTTAGGATCAGTGTAACTTGCAGTCAAAATTGAAATGATCTATTTGTATAATTTATTTGGTTCAGACAAGAATTAGAATGGGAATTAAAATTAAGAAATCAGTTAGAATGAAATTTCATTATCGAGGAAAAGAGATCTATCAGAAATAAGACTAGAATTTCAATTCCACCCAACCAAACTAGCCTAGTTTTTTAGTAGTGTAAAGGTGCATGCCAGATAGAGCTGAAAATAATATTGTAAAATTCGAATTTAGTCAGATTAAGTCAGTCTTATTTTAATACGTTTATAAAATTGACTCTTACAGAAGTTATTCAAGCAATTTTATTCGTGAAATACAATATCAAAGACTGAAACATGCTTTTAGTTAGTTTATTTTGTATAATGCGACTGTATTTCATTATTTTAATACTCTAATTTAATGCCAGAACACTTAATGCGACTGCATTTCATTATTCTTATGATGAATAAGAAGCAAGATGGTGAGCAGAAATAAACAAAATTAAACACTTTCTCTTATGGAGATAGCGTACGAGATGGGACTTATAAGCCAAACAGTCCATGAGAGGAAACTGTTAAACGCACATGGCGATGGCGTCGTTCGTTTCCTCTTCTGAAGACTGAAGGAGACCCAGGAGCGGAATTCGGAAAAAAAACTCGGGACTCGGGAGTCACTAGCTAGTTACAATTGAGGGAATGCTCCTTTTAACGGTTGATAATAAGGCCACGTCTCTCAAGATATTCGGAAAACGACCTCGTAACTGAAGATGGAGATGGGTCCCAACCCAACAAACAAATTGGGCCATGTAAGATGGGCTTGGTGTCCAGTAGGTACTTCGTAGTTTGATCTATCTGCTGTCTCCAGATCCATCAAATGCAAATCAGAAAAGGATGATAAACTAACCCAAACACCACCGAGGCGGCCATATCACATAATACATATCATCCTTTCCCGTTTATCCGCTAACTCTTTTTTCTTTTCTAATTTCTTCATCGACGCATAACGGTCCAGTCGATAGAACCGTGTCCGTATCAACTATCTACTATTACTATCAGGCCGCCCAATCATTCCCATCCAAATATCCAATGGTTCAAATTGAACTGCATCCTACACTGTCATTCTTAATTCCTGAACCACACCGATCGCCTGGATAATTCTATACACGTGGCAATAGAAGACTCTCCTACTCTGGTTCCCCGGAATAACTTAAATTAATTAAGATTAGAAACTGAAATTTAAAATATTAGTGGATAAGAGCATGAGTTACCACGTGGACTGATCCACTAGACACGTGGCATAGGTTATTCGAATCCCTTTTGACCCGCTAAAAATCAATCCTACACCGTGACTGACAATTAGTTGTCGAGCGAGACGACCTGCCCAGAGAAACCTTTTGATAAGTTATATAAATACTCCGCCATTTTTTAGTCTCCTGAAGTAACTGATTTCTTAACCTCCTCCCGACGCGCTACCTTGGTTGCCAACCCTTCTCTTTGCCAAGGCCAATCCGTCTCTCATACTTTCTGAAAAACAACACTTGTTTTTCTATTATATGTTCTTTCGTTTACAGCACAAATCCCCTCCAATCCTTCTCGATGGAGAAATCTTCCTCCATCATCCACTGTTTCCAACCCTTTCAAGTTTTATCGGAGCAGTTATAAGTCAGTTCAGTTCCACTCAAGACCTCACCCATCTTCGTCTACCCTTTTCTTTTATCTTCAAGCAGTTGATCTTATGCTTCTCGCTGGTTCGTCTCTTCTTTCTTGAACGGAGAAGGAGAAGAATACCTTATACCTGTTGTTGAAAAGTAAGATTTCTTCTCCTATTTTTCTTTCGTTTTTACAGGTTTGAATTTGATCATGACACAAGGAGTGAGGAGCCAAAGAAAGAAAATGAAAAGTCTCACCTTTCGATTCCTAATCTTTGACGATTTGTAATATTTTTCGTATTTTTTGATTAATTTAATTTATTCTTAATTCTTGACTGTGACTCTTTAGGCATATCCCCTTGTTAGTGGAAACCCTCTGAAAATTCTTTTTGCCCGGTCTTCATTCACTGGCTCAGCCTTTCTTAACTTCCTTCCGCTCTTAAATCTTCACTCTTATCTTCTGGTGCAAGTCAGAACTCGACTAATGGCCGAAAATTCAAAGTTGGTAAGAATTCTCTTTTCCTCTTTCTTTCTTTTTTCCTTAATTCAATTTCATCATGTTATTTCTGAAAACTGCGCTTTTGAGACATTTTGTTACGGTGGTGATCTGTTTGGAGACATGTGGATTGGATATATTAGAATTCAGGGTCAGAGGGGTTCGTTCAACTGACGAAATGACTTCTTTTCATTTCTCTTTATCTGGATTTTTCCTTTCTTTGTTTCAGCATTCCGGCACCGCTTCGCAGAGTCATTCTTTCGATTTTGTTGGATTCAACAAAGTGGATACCCTGAAGATGGCTACTCCTGATTCCGAAACGTCCCCTGAGAGAAACGAGAGGTCTGATAGCTTTGTTGTGGACATGGAAAGCTTGTGTCGTGGCATCGATAAAGACGTCACTGCGAATTCTAGGATCACAGTAAGGAAAAATATGACTGATTCATTGGGTTCTTGTCGATTTCACGTTTCTTCCTAAATCCCCTGTTCTGTGTCCTGCTTTCTTGAATCTTGTGTGCCCATGTTGTTTCAGCGAATATTTTGCACATTTCTTGATCAAAAATTGAATAAATTTCATCGATTTCTTGGTGTGTTCTATGAAACTGATTCGTTTCTTCCGATTTTATACTTCAATTGATCTTCTTGAAAAGGGCACAAAAGAATTTTTAGAAATATGCACTAATAATTTTGAGATAAGGAAGAAGCTACCACCTTTTTGTCTTTCCTTGAACCTGAAAATCATATTTTCTAAAATGTTTGTTTTACTCGCTGGAAGATATGATAGTGAACGATCATTTCAATTTGGCGTAGGCATTAAGGAAAGTAGGGAAAATTAAAGGTTGCAGAGTAATTATTATATTATGTTTCTTCTGATTTTATTTTATAATTGAAGTTGCAGAGAAACTTGTCCCGAAAAGGGTCTCAGAGAGGAGAAAGGAGGATTACTGCTACACTTTCTCCTATTAACATTAGTGAAAAAGCAGGTTCTATTAATACTACCTCTGCAACTGGTGATGTTTCACCTTCTAAAGGTAAACTACCCTGCAAGCTTATTACAGTTTGATGGTTTTGTTGCTTTCCTTTTCACGATTTTGATTTAGATTAGAATGTGAGAATTGGGACGGGATTAGAGTTGGGGTTTATCTAGTTGTCTGCATCTATCATTTTCATCTATAATTTTGGGCTTGCGTTTGCGTCTATAATTTGTAATCCAATCTCAATATTTCTCATGTGGGACATGATCTGGTGCTTATTCATCCCAAGTGAAATGGGATTAATATATTGATATATTTTAATTATTTATGACATAATCTTTATGGGGTAGCAGCTGCAGGAGGAGGATCCATGAGAGGCAGCATTCCACCCGAGAAGTCGGTTATAGTAGCGGTGGAGAGCACAGAGCCTGCCACCTACGCGCAGATGATGAACACGTCGACGGCGACGAGTACGGAAAATAATTACAGCAGAAGCAATAGCATTAACATTAGCGTCAGCCGGAGACAAGGTAGCAGGCGATCTTCCACTAACTCCGGGTTCGTCGTCGATCCTCGGAGCGTTGTTATACTTTTCGCCACCCTGTAAGTAGGACCTACTTTTGGTTTTGGCCACCTAAATTGTGAATCAGATAGGAAACCCACTGAAAAAATAAACCATGGGAGTAAAAAGCAGAGAATTGCAGTAGCAATGCCTTCTGCTGTTTAGCTAGTTCATTTGAATCTGAAATAGGGTTGAAAATCGGAGAAACCTTTGCAGAGAAGGAAAGGAAGCATTTGACATTGATTATTAAACAAATATGAAAATTGTAGAGGAAGTTTGGTCAGTAGCCTAGATTTAATTATTTGTTGTTGGGGGGAACAGGTCAAGCATGGGAACAATATTGCTCATATTCTTCACGCTCTCCATCAACAACAATCTCAGCGGGGATGACTTTACTCACTCCCAGTGACACTGACGACTCACCAGTCACCAGCACCACCCCCCCCCAAAACCCGAAAAGGAAAACGATCAGAGGAGGAAGTGTTACCTTTTTTTCTCTATCTTTTATCTTTTTATCTTCTCTCCTTTCCCAAAGTTGTACATAAAATGAAAGATAAGAGGATTGATGAAAAGAGAATATTCTGCTGTCTATATATGGTGAGTGCCTTTGTTTCAGATAAGTTTTCCCCTTGTCAAATGCCAATACCAGGAGACAAGCAAACCCAGAAAGACAACAAAGGATAGATGAGTACAAGAAAATGATGGGAAAGGTTGCAGACCAAAATCTATAATTCTCTCTCTCTTAAGTTGCAGTCTCTTTTTAATTTTTGCCTTAAATTTGTAGCACTTTCCAAGTAGACACGGCAGTGTAACGAACGAGGGTAGAGGAAAGAATGGGAATTTAGTATTTGATTCCATAGGAAGGAGCGCCGTATGGATGTATGTTGGCTCATTTTGGCTATTTCTTTTCTTCATTTCTTGTGTTGTCTCTACCTCTGTTTTTGGTTGAATCAGCTCTCTCTCTCTCTCTCTCTCTCTCATCTGATTACCAACTGAGGGAACTGAGGGGAAGGGAGCTCGCTCCCTGCTACTCGCTACTCGCTAGTGAGGCACCGAGGTGATGATCAATCGATCAGTTCATGGTTAATAACTCCTAAGTTAAGCCATGAGTGAGTGCAGCAGCCAAATAAATAAATGAAAAGAACACGTGTCATGGGGAATGTATGCGTGTTCCTGACTTTTAAAGAGCGTGAGAGCCATGTGCATCTATGACTCTTGTGAGAGTTGCGGTACGTACAAGGAAAACGTTATGACTTATCCATCAAACACCACATCACATTCTCGCTGCTTTTTCATGTATTTGGCAATTGGCACGTCGCATGAATCATCCTCTACATGTACAATACAATCTCTCTCATACACAAACACATTTCCATTCTAGACTTCCTTGGCTTTATAGCTAGAAACTAGTGATTAGATATAAGAAAATCTGCCCATGTGTTATTTCTCATACTTAAAGAACTAAAAATCCATATGCTAATCTTGGTGAGAATAACTCAAAGAATTAGGTGGTTTTTTTCTCATGACAAATCAAATTTGAAATTCCGGTTCTCGGAAAATAGCATTTTCACATATAATTGTGCAGATGGCTGTATGGTAAACATGATAAATCAATCCCCTTGTAGGTGGTCAACTAGAGCAATTATTAGTAGAAATAATTATTATAACCATATGAACTGAACGGTTGTTTTCTGAGATTTAAGATCTTGCAGGTGGCATCTCCCAAATAATCAACCTTGTCCAGTGCTTATCTGATACGTCTACAATATTAATTCTTTCGATTTTTAGTTATTCCAAGTAATTGACTTTCATCGGAAGTCCAGAGGTGCAACCCCACTATGCCCCACAAACTCCAGCAGCAATATCTGATCTTACAAATGTACCTGCAAAACTAAATAAGCAGTCATCCTGAAATGAGAGATGGTATTCGTACCACTCCAAGTTCAGCCTTAGCACCTCATCCTACAGACACGGGAATAGAAACTTACATACTCTAGTAACGTCTTGATATCCGTGGCATTGCACACTTCTGCTTCCGGTCATGGTAGAGCCTCAACACAACTGCCGCTGTTTCTTCAATAGCTTTTCCTGTTACTTCTGCAATCAGAGAACAGAGATGAGAAACAATATGATCAGAATAGAAGGATTTCATAAACTAGGCATACTTTTGCTTCATTCAAATAAAAAAAAATACAGCCGTTCACAATAACAAAAAATGCAGCACTATGTTGTCCTACTTTTGAGATTAATAAGAAATAGAAAAAAGTAGAAAATCTTATAGAAAGATTCTACAGCATGACTCAATTCAGATACTGTAAATCTCATTGCATCAATCACCCCTTTTATGCTGGTTGGTAACACTATGGCTGAGGCACAGGCAAGGACTCTACCCAAGTACCTAGTCAGTGGATGTCAACTCTGATCTTGAAGGTTAGTTAAATCTTCATTTATATATTAATTCATTCTTATTTTGTTTTCGTTCCTTTTGGGGGGGGGTAATTGGATCCTGGCAGAGGATCATGTCTAGAAGTATGATTTCTAGCTGATTGGATACAGCACAGTTGATAAACAACTTAATAGCCTAACAATCAAAATTGACATATAGATGTATAATAACATTTACACTACCAGTGTGAACTTGTCTTACATAGCCGGTCCAAGTATAGATAAAGGTTGAGGGTCGCATTGGGTTGGCAGCTGGCACTAAAACTTGCACCAAACTCTCATGGTAATGAATCCTAATTTGTCTTTTAATTATGCAACTGAACAAAACAGGATTCATGTAACCGATCCCATATAATTGGGACAAGGCTTACATGATGACGATGATGATGATGTACCATTTCTTAACACACGGTTACCAATCATCATGGGTACCACCACAAAGCATTTTATTACTGTTTGTATTTGTTTTCAATTTTAGGGGCCACTGCTTGGTCTAATGATAAAATCTTATTGACAAGCTTGAAGACATGAGTTTGAGTCTGAGAGTGGCCACTTAATGCACAAAAAGAATGCAAAAGGTTAGGTCTATATTCTATAACCAGTGCACCATCCCAAGACCGACCCCAGAAAGCTGGGACCAGCATTAGGTAATGGGCATATATTTGTTTTCAGTTTTGGGTATGAATTAAGATACCAAACTATCTAAAGAAAATAAGTATACTTACCAATTACTGGCCACAGTGGATTTTGTGCAAAAATCTTATTAGCAAACTCCAACTCCTCTCTCACATGATCCATCTCTGAGTAGTTACTCCGTGCTTGGCTTTTGAAACCCAGGGTCTTTGCTCTTGCCCTTCTAATCATTTGCAATACCGCAGGATTTATAGTCAACCCAAATACTTTATCTGGTTCTACCTCAAAGAGTGTTCCAGGCAATTCTACACCCAACACAATTGGAACATTAGCTACTTTGTATCCCTTTTGTGCAAGATATATAGACAATGGTGTTTTTCCAGTTCGAGAAACTCCAGCAAGGACAATGTCAGCTTTGTGCAGGTTTTGGGGTAGAGCACCATCATCTTGCTTAATGGTGAATTCAACAGCTTCAATTCGTTGGAAATACTCCTCTGTTAGAGGGAGTTTGCGACTTGGAGCCCCTCGAGGAACTCCAGATGGAGATACACCAAGATGGGTGGTGATGGCCTCTGTGACGGGTCTCAGTATATCAGTGGATGGAACACCCCATAGCTCGCAGGCCTGTTCTGCTGACTCAACCATGTTTGGATCCGCTAAGGTGTACAGAAGCAATGCACCTTCCTTAGCTGCTTGTTTTATGATCTCCATGAGACGCTCCACATCATCAATCTGAACAGTTTCCATGGATATCACTATCTTTTCATGATTATAGTAGTGGAAAATTTTAAAAAACAAAAAGAAAATCCTGTTCGTGGCAATGAATCAGAAGACAGAATTTCTTCACCGGCATCTATGCATGATTCACTTGAGATGCAGATCAACATTGGAACTGATATGATCAGATGAAAACTGACAAACAACCAATAGACTGTTTCCTACTGTTTTCTGGGTCAAATAGCCAAAAGCATAACTCAGATGGTTCACTTATCAATCACATTGATTATCAATCTAGGATTTATCAAGGTGGGAAATGCATTGAGGATTCGTCATCAGTCTGAGAAGCTGACAACACTGGTTTGAACATAAAAGGCAGATTATTCTGGAAGTACCTTTTTCTAGTAGAGAGGTCAACTCTAGACAAGCATTCTTACAGAAGTAGACACCCATTTATGTAACTTATAATGTTACCTGAAGTTATTTCCAAAGCTTTATAAAATCTATGGGCATTTTCCTAATAAGTGAGGTTTAATGAGGTCTGGGGGTCTCAAAAGTACTCTGTTTAAATCAGAATTTTATTTAACTTGTTACCCTATTTAAAGGTGTTCAATGCTTATACAAATATAGGGAAATTTACTAAAAACTTCCCCCAGCTATCTGACAATTACTAAAAAGTTCCCCAGCTATTGAGCATTTACTGAATCCTCCCATATTGGCTAATGTGGAATTTCTTTGATCAGTTTTGAGACAGGAATAATAAAAATGAGTGTAATACCCCTCCCAAAACTCCAGATAGTTAGGACCATCATTAGGTAATGACCATGTTTCTCCCTCTGTCAGTCCTAAATGAATTATTTTTAAAGGACTAAAATGTCCCAATTGCATTCGCCCCCCAGGAACAAGGCAGTTTCTTTCATGAAATTATATTTTTAATTTCTTGATTTAAAACAAGACATTTTAAAACAAATCTATTGTTGTCTTCCTGTTGTTCTTCCTTAGTTCCAATAAAAACTCACTCCTTAGAGCTCAAGACGACATGACCAAAATCTAAACATCAGTTATATTTAAAGGAATAGTAGAAGATAGGAGCAAAGTCAATGGTGCAATGGAAGACAACAATATAGATCATCTAATATAAGGCGAAATTTATCTAAGACATTGTCTAATGTGATTTGAGTATTAAAAAGGCTAGGAATGACTAAACACTCTACCAACTATAAATTAGCCTTGGAAATTCTCATCGAAGACCTCTATTTCTAAATTAGTCAAAACTTAAAGTCATGTTAAAACCACATTATAGGTAACCAGATAACCTTTCTACCAACTATTTAATCAAAACACAAATAAGAACAGAAAGATAATTGACTAAAGATATTCTTTTATCTTCAGATTGAGATCCAAGTAACTGTCCTATGATCATATGACTAAATGGTTGTTATGTCACCATTATTTTGCAAGTTAACTGATGTTCAAGTCTTCTTCATGTATGCTGCTACAATTGGCAAGAAAACAAAATATTAACCATTACAAAATATCAACCATGCATCAGTACCATTAATTAATTGCATTAAGTCCAACTTACGTTTCTTCTTTCTCAAGTAAATCAGAAGCAAAAACCTTCATCTTCTAATTAAGATATGTACTAACTGTGCTGCTATGAGAGTAATGAGGTGGTCTTTAGAGGGCAGGAGGCTGGGTTGTAGTTGAGACTGCTAGAGCCAACTTGTCAAGAAGGGTGAAGATGATTTATCGAACTTCTGTGAAAATTTGTTTTGGTTAATTTTGGAACACACCGAGGAATTGTTGCTTCAAACAGAATATAGACATCAGTATTGCTTGAAACCTCCAGTTTAATGAGAAGTTTAGTTTTTTGAATATAGTTTTGCACTGAGCATATTTGTATTGCACTCTTCCCAAACTGAGCCTAAGGCTGTGTACAGGAAGAGTGTAAATGCCGGTTCAGTTTTGCAGGTATTTGGTAAGAATTTATGTGTGTTGATAATGACAGTAAATACAGATTCCAAGACATGTTTTCATTCAAATGAGAGCAAAAGTGTGCATCCATTTTTTAGACAAACTTTTGCACTCAAGTTATTCAATGTAAAAAAGGTGGATTCTAGTCTCAGGAGTCATGTTTGTACCTATCACAACTAAAAATCATTGTCAAGAATACAAAATTGTCATTACAAAATTAAACCAACTTTGCCTTTTTCTGAACCAGACATATTTGTATTTGTACTGATAATTTTTGCATTTGAACTCTTCCCAAATGCAGCCTAAGTCTCAACTTTTGTACTTAAATTTATGGGTAAAAGAATTAAGCATACCCTGAGTTTTTAAAAAATACTTAAATATACCTTGTGACTGTTTTATCTTTCATTTTCTTTCAAATTTTTCGAGCATACCCTTGCCAATGGACTGATCCTTTTACCTTGTGAGTTTTTTATTGCATATTCACCTTAATGAATTGAAACACATGTTTGTTTGTAGAGGGGATAAAGGAATTAGAGGACATTTTACTTTTGATTTGGATATGGGGTGGAGAAGGTGAAGGCAAGACTCTATCACTATCAATCTATCCCAGGGCAGTAACAGCGGGTTTCCAACTGATTTGGGTCTAAGTGCAACATCCCACTCTGTCTAAGCAGGATGCCATATTGTCATCCATCAAAAATCTCTTGGGCTCACTAATTGTGGCCCAAACCAGACCTGAGCTTCTCCCATTGGTAGTTGGGTTCAAGCTTGCCGAGTCAAGTTTAAAATCACATTCATAAATTTAGGGTAAAATCATTGATGGAGGGAATGCTCAAATCTAGTGAGGTCAGCCCATAAGGTATATTTAGTATTTTTTAAAGGCTCAGGGTACCTATATAAGTCAATTTATGAAGTCAAGTTAGGTATATTTAAGTCTTTTACCCTAAATTTATATATTAATCATGGTCAGCTTGTTATGGCAGAGGGTATATATGTGCAGGAACGGGGAAGGAGAGAGACTAGAGCTCAAAGCAATGTATGCAGGTCTTCTAAAAGCTAAAGAAAAATAGAAATAAAGTGTATTTTGCTAAATTCAGATGCAAAGAAACTAATATGTGAGCGTATGAAGAAACAAGTTTATGGAACGTGGCAGGAAACCATGCTTTATGATAAAATATATAGTATTGTGGTCTATTACTCTATTTTGATAATATATAGCACCCCAATGTGTAAATAGAACTGATGATCAAGTAGCCCAAAATTTAGCATATCAATTATGTAAGAATCTATATAATTAGGCTCCTTGTAAATCTGACCTTTTGTTTAATTAAAGTACTTATTTATCAGAAAAAATAAACTTTTGCACTCAAATTATTGCTTTGAAATTTGAGAAAGTGAAATGTTTTGGCACAGAATATAATGTATAACAACTTATATAGACATTAATATGACATATAATTCATATTATATATATATTTTAGGCCCGGTTTTTGAGCTGCGAGGCCCAGACTATATCCTTTTATCAAATGTGTGAAGCCCAGTCCAGTCCGGGCTGGACCATGATCTCCCCCGCCACGCCAACGTCCGACGTGGAATCAGTCAATCAGGATATGGGAAAGTGCTACTATTTTCCTAAAAAATAGTCCAAAAAAGAAAAATAAAGGAGTAATAATTGGGTCAGTCATGATCTGACGTGATTAAATTAATTAAAAGGTGGTAGATCAGAACCGTCTATAAGCCTCCACGGCTCCACCTTGGGAAAAAAACACCGAAGTTAGAACCCTATGCAGTTCCTAGATCAAATCAGCCCCACAAGATTGTCTTCTACAACATCCCACAGTACATCCTATCATGCATTGGAAACATCTCCTGATCATAATATCAGAAATAATGATGTCATCATCAGGAGATGTTATAAATACATAGCGGGGATGTGTGAGATATTATAGCGGGACAATCTGTACGAGATGGGATCTGCTCCTTACACTTGGGCACCTCATATACACATTTACCATGCATTGGAAACATCTCTCATGAATAATAACTTAAAATATGGAAAATGTTCCCAATACATGGTAAGATGTGCGTGTGAGACGCGAGAGAAGCGCCCTTTATGAGGAACAGATCCGGTCTCAATCTGTGAGGGCTGATTTGAACTCTGCAGTTCCAGTCATTGAAACTCGTTCTAAAACTAGGCCACCTGTAAAATATGGTCAAAAGTGCATTTTCTTTTGCAAAATTTCGATAGACAGAACAGAAATTGTTGCTACGTGGCCACAGATTTTGCCACGTTGGAATACAGGTGGGCCATACCCTGAGATGGAATCGTTTCCTAGTTATTAGAAAATGAAAAATAGATTGCGTGCAATAAAAATATAGCCAAGCCAAAGGGATCATCATCAGTAATCCAGAACGTCTAACGAACAAAAAGAAAAAGACGCACTTACCCCGGAGAATAGATGCGTGTTTACTGGACAGCCCCTATCGACCAGGCAGTGCTCGAACTGCCCCAGCGCTGCGTTAACGGTGTGTTCCGCCGTCCAGCCAGTGCCGTCAGAAATCATGTAAATGGTCTTAACCGCCGTCCTATCGCCGTTGTCTTCGCTACCGCTGCTTCCTACAGATAAAGGCGAGGTGGGGCTAAGGAGGCCGCCCTCCCCACCCAGAACAGGGGAGATCATATTGGTGGCCCCTTGACTTAGGGAGCGGTCTAATCTCCGTCCAGCTCGTATAGAACGAGCCCTAGACCATCGGTTCAGCTGGGAGCTACCCCTGAATTTTCGAACCTGACTGTGTGTCTCGGAATCAGATTGGGAGGTATTGTTCGGATTATTAGTCGGTATAGAAGAAGGAGAAGAAGGAGAAGGAGAAGGAGGTATTTTAGGGCTGGAAATGTTAGGATCGGGGATTGCAGGAGAGGTGGAAGTGAGGGGAAGAGGAGGAGGAGATAAACAGTTGAAGGCGGAAGGGGCCATCTCTTTCCCTACTTTCCGAGGATCGTCTGTGGATACCTGAGTTATGGGGATTAGATAAATGTTGTAACAGAGTAAACAACTCGCTTGTTAAGTGTCATCGTTCAATCGTTCTATTGAGCAAGAGAGACGGGACGGGAGGCCATGGCTACCGGCTAGCCAAATGAATAAATACTTATAAATAAGTGATGAATTATTTTTACGTGGATAATTATGATTGTTTTTTATTTATTTTATTATTATTTGAGGATGATAATGTGATATAATATCATCGAAAAGGCCAAAAGGGAAAAAGATATGAAATTTGAAAAATATGATGGAAAGCACCATGCTGGTCACAAGACCCTGCAGCTGCACATCGAGAACATCTTTCGTACTCTATGTTCTAACTCATGTAGATATTTCCGATGTGCGGCTGCAGTTTTTGTGGCCAGCGTTTGCTGGTTAGCATATTCAAACTTTTATCTGACTCGAACTACCACCATACCAATGTCTTAGTAAGCAGTGTCCACTAATAGTATATGCTATATACTACCAACAAGAAAGAAAGAATCTCCATTGCAATTTAGAAAATTTCAACTCTTTACCGGACGGAAATTGATTAATAAGTTTCGTCCAATAGGTTTTAGCTTTGATTTGTGGTATAATGCCGCCCACAGATAAGAAATAAGACAAATCAGAACATGAGAGATGCTATCGTCACTAGCAGCAGATTTCACAGTCAGCATTCTTAGCTTGCCACGTTGTAACAAAGCGCTTTCTAATTAAAAATCAATGTCGTGTTCATTTATACAAGATTCTACATATTTAATATATATTTTTTTACAATATCAAAAACTTTAAAATTGATCATAATGTTGGGTATTGTGGACCTTGTGGTGCTTTAAGTGAACGTTTGCGGACTTACAAATCGAGATCAAGTGTTATAATAATTGAAAAATATCAAAAACTTTATTATAGTGGTACAATGTGGCTCGGGACGGTTGAAAATTTGTCAAATTTTCAATGACCCACAGTCCAAACTCAAGCCCAATGTAATTGAGGGCTTGTTTGGTTTGTGGAAACAGGGGTCTGGAATTGAAATCGGATTAGAATCTCATTTCCATTCTTTGGCATCCCCTATTTGAGAGAATAAAATTTCAATTCAGTTGATTTCAATTTTGATTCTAATTTTTGTTTGAACCAAACAGGTAAAGAATTTTGATTTTGATTTTGGAATCAAACCAAACAGACACTAAATTCTTCAAATTAGACAGTTTGATTTACAATCATATTTTATTGTAGTTTAAAACATTTAAGTCCTAATAATACTGTTAATAATCTAGTTGGGTTAGATTTAAGGTGTCAGGTAGCCTACTTGTCAAGTCTAACTAGTTGTAGCGGAGCGTATGATCATCTCTCACCTTTATCCAAATTTTAGGTGGGGGTAGAGGTATAAATCAAGTCGTACCTGCCATGTGGCACAACCACTAGGGTCAGGCTCAGCCAAGGGATTATGACCCGTGAGTATATGTATTATTTCTAATTTTATTGTAATTCTTTTCATCTTCATTTTATTATTTTATATAAATAATTATATACATCAAAGTTCATACGGAATAAAATTTCAAATTTCTTTTCAGTATTTCTTAAAAAAAAACCATGTTAGCCCACAGTCCGGCTCAGGCCTTGGACCGTGCTAGGTTTCCCTCTTGGGGGATTCGTGCCAGGCAAACATGGCTCTCTAGGCCTGCGTATATACCAGCCTGGCACAACCCACATTATACCTCTAGGAGGGTTTTAGGCTTCTAGGGGTTTGGGAGGGTTACACTTGTTGTATGTAGCCCGCATTATACCAGTTATGAACCAAACCCTTTAAGGCTGATATGTGGAGGGTATGGGAGTCCGAATTAACATATAAGTCTACAATTAATTTGGGTTGCAACCATGAAATCATGGCTCTCAATGTTTTGGTGTGCCACCATCTTGAATTAGATGAGCTGACCTTAAATTAGTGCCACACCAATACATCGATGGCCATGATTCACAATTGTAGCCTAAGACTAAGGTCTCATTCGCTTTGTGAGAATATAGGGGTTTGGAATTGAAATCGGAATCAGAATGGACTATTCCAATTTTAACTGTTTGGTTGGATGGAATCGGAATCCTATTTTTATTCTTGCTGGAATGGCATTCCCCCATTTGAGGAAATGGTCATTCTTTGCCCTTCTTTGGGAATGAAATTCCATTCCTACTAATTTCAATTTCCATTCTCATTCCTATCTGAAACAAACAGACTATGGGAATGGGTCATTCCGATTCCGACTGTGAATCAAATGGACCCTAAAACTGCATTATAGAAAAAGTAAACTTACGGGTGAAGCATGGTGTTGTCCGAAAGCGTGTCATTAACCACTTCGGAACACCAGTTTAGATATTTATAAATTTTTCCGATCCTCAAAATAACTACAAGGCGTAGCTAGTGGTGAGAACAGGTCGTATCCATAGGGAAGCATGGGAAAAATTATTACTTCTCTTTGTTCCAAACAAATAAAAAGAAAATGGAATTGGGAATTGCAGAAAATAAGAAAATAAAATTTATTAATGCTAAAATTAAAGGTTCAGAATTAAACAAGACAATAGTTAAAATTTAGAAACTAAAAGAGTATTGAAATCAACAAAAAAACAAATAAATATGATCCAAAATCCGGATCTAGTGGTGGTAGTTGCAGATTGGCCGGATAGCTTGCAGGAACCCATCCTAACAAGAACTGGGAGTCCTTCCTTTCTACAACCCTTGAACCCCTCGAGACACCTTAGCCTTGAACGGACAAATTCAGATATGCAAAACAGAGAAACGAACAGAAATTAAATCTAAAAGAGTGCTGAAATAAAAATAACGGAAAAGAAAATAAAGAAAATAAAAGAACGGTTGATCAGATCCAGTGGCGGTAATTGCAAATTGGTTGAACAACTTGCAGGAACCCCTCCTGACAAGAACTGGGTGTCCTTCCCTTCTACAACCCTTGAACTCCTCAAGAAACCTTAGCCTTGTGAACTGGGTGAATTGACCAACCCTTTCTCTTGGGCCCTTGGGGTCATTTTTATAGAAAATGGTGGACACAACTAGGAATAGAGAGAAAGAGGGGGGTGGCAGCCGGTTTTAGCAAAGTTATGGGCGCCCTAGGGTTTCTAATGGAGGGTTAAGATGATTCTAGGGTGATCCTAGGGCTAAGAAGAAAAGAAGAGGGCACCCAATATTATGTAGAGATTTGGGTGCCTAGAAGTGAATGGATGAGATGGAGGCTCCAAAGGTTGAAAGGTGGAGATTGGAAGAGGTGGGGGCGCCATAGAGTGGATGGCTGAGATAGAAGATGGAATGGAGGGCTGAGATCTAGTGGTTAGGGGCTGAATGGTGAGGATTAGCAATTAGGTGGCACCCTAGGGTTTAAAAGCTACAAAAAGAGTGCCCTAGAATGAGTGGTTGACATTAAAGGAGGTGGAGGGTGGATATTAAACACCTAGGGGCAGCTAGGGTTTGCTAAGAGTGAAAAGAATGGGTTAAAAGGCGCCCTAGGGTTTAAAAGCTACAAAAAGAGTGCCCTAGAATGAGTGGTTGACATTAAAGGAGGTAGAGGATGGAGATTAAACACCTAGGGGCGGATAGGGTTTGCTAAGAGTGAAAAGAATGGGTTAAAAAGCGTCCTAGGGTTTGCTAAGGAGAGGGGAGCATGCTAATATAGTAGGAGGGGCACCAAACTGGGTTTAGCAGATAGGAGGCGCCCTCCTGTTCTTAGTTTTTCACAAAAACACCCCTTCTCTCGGTTGGACTTCACACCAGCTTCCCAAAAACTGCATTTTAGCCATGAAATCTTCCTAGTTTTGCATAGAATTTGCACAAAGACCCTCAGATGTCACAACATTGATTTTAACTGGAAAAATGACACACTTTGATTATTCTAAGGTCGAAAATACCCCTGAAATGATGCCCTTAAGGCATCAAAATACAGAGTTATCAAAGCGAGTTGTAAATAATTTGGACTAACTAAAGTAATGGTTGTGTAGTGAGCTACGGAACCAATAATAATGCCCCACAACCTGTTTGAAGATTATTATGTCAAGTGTGGGACTCAAGTATTTTATAACTGATGGTAAAATTAGGCTAAAATTATAGGATGATTGTATTTTTATGTAACCATAAGCAAAATGAGGCTAAATGTTTGAATCTATTCAAGAGACACATAGCTTGATTAACTTTGCACCAACATGTTTTCATACTTTCAAAAATAGAGAAATTTTGGTTTCGTTTGGATAAATTTTAGGATTTGTGTTTTTGAAGCCCTAATATATATATATATATATATATATATATATATATATATATATATATATATATATATATATATATNTATATATATATATATATTGGTCCGTCCATGTCAGCACATCTCTCCTTTGAGAGAAGCTATTTATCTATTTTCTCCATTTTTTGTATTTTTTTTATTTTCTTTTGTTTTAAAAATATAAAATAGTTATCATTACTTATCTTGATTAGATTAAACAACCAATGAGATGCACTTTTCCAAAACCAAAATAATCTCTTCTCCTAAAATTTCTCCTAAACTACCTCCCCCACTTTCTCCAAAATTATCACTAATTCCTATTTATCTTCATTCCTATTTATCTCCAAAATTATCTCTAATTTAGTAGAGAGTTTCTCTCCTAAATTATCTCTAATTCCTATTTATCCTCTTCCCTACTTTTATCTATATCTATCTAAATAAAGTTTGGATTAAAATATATAAGAATTATATTTTTCCGGATTACCAATTTAAATGTTTTTCAAATATTTAATAATATGTAATAGATTTAAATAAAGAAAATTCAAATAACACAAAATTTTAAATATTTTATAGACTATTTAAATATTTATCATAACTATATATTAAATAGTTAAAATAACAGAATTATGTAATAAATTTAAAAAAATTCTTCAAAGTAGAAAAAATAATTATAACATAATATTGAAATTAATAATAATTTAATATATTACAAAATTAATATGAAATTATGTAATAATAGTATAAATTTTGATTTTATGGATAATTAAATTCAATAAATAATTAATATTTTAAAATTTAAATATTTTACATATCATTTAAATA